TATAATGTTATAAACAGTCACAATGTTGGCATTTTATCTTTTTTTACCTCATTTTACCTCTTTAACCCTAAACTTGCAATGTATATATATAGTGACTACAACAGAGATGAAAATACATTTAGTGAGGCCTACTACCCGGAGGCAATGCCATATAATCTGAGAAACGAAATCTATATGAAACCAAAAATATGAACCAATTGCGGTTCCCAAGCAATAACTTACGAAATACCTGAGCTCCTAAACAATCACCCCGATATCATTGAGTTAATAAAAAGTTCTACTTCACTTTTCACCTTTTAGAAAAATATTAAACGTTATCTCCTGCCATTTTATGAATGGAGTTGTGAAACTGTTTATTTAATCATTTTCTATCTATTTATGGGGCTGATTATCAGTTTGTTGTTTTCTGTATTTATCCCTGTTAACCGATACTTTGCTTTGTAAGCAACCAATTCCTAGCAATTTATTACTGTCAATTCTATGAAGTGCATATTATCATTTATATTATTATTTATATGTGTGTGATTTCATTATTACCGTTTTTTTTGTATTTCCTTTTGTATAAGAATATTGTTTTGTGGACACAATATTGACTCCATAGTTTCCTTTGCGTTTACTGTTGCATGCTGCTGAGCTATGTACAGGGTGGTGGGGCCTCGTCAGGTAAAATTTGTTCACCTTTTGCCCCTCCACCCGCGACTGAAGGAGTCCAAATAAAGATAAAGTCCACTTACGATCAATTATGCATTCTGGGCGATTTTAACATCGACATTTTGACCCCCTCAAAGCCTTCAGTATGCACTTACCTCAACACTCTCTCTGGTAACGGGATTAGTAGCTTGATAAATGCTCCGACCCGTGAAGAAATTCTTTCGGGTCGGTTGGTCGTCTCATGTATAGACCATATCAATCTCCGAACTTGTTCACAAAGAGTCCAGTCAGCAATTATCACACAGAATCTTGCAGATCATTACTTTATTTCATGTCGGTGGTCCAATGTTAACCCTTCCCCGCAAAATAGCTTACTGGGCACTAGAACATCTGTTATTGACACCGCTAAATTTGATCGTCTTGTTTCTTCCTTCGACTGGAATGGGTTTCTTCAATCAGTTAGTTCCACGGACATATACCAAAAGTTCGCTCATGTCATTAATATGTTTTACGTTTCCTCAAGAAAAGAAATCTGCGTTAAAAGACGTCGGCCTAATCACTACTGGTTGAATGCAGACATTTTGGCGGCAATAGCGGAAAAGAATAACTTGTGGGCTCGATATAGGCGTTCGCCTAGTAATACTGTACTTAAATCGAACTATCAAATTTGCAGAAACATGGTAAATGCTATGATTTGCTCGGCAAAGCGAAAGTATTTTCATAAAAAATTTTCAGAGTCTCGCTCGAACATGACACAGACATGGCTTCTCGTCAATGAGTTTCGTGGCAACCCTTCTACAAGTTCTGTTGATAACGTTTTGAAAAAAAACTTCGGTCCAAATCTTTCAACTGTTGTAAGAGATTTCAACAGTTTTTTTGCGACCTTTTCTGGTAAAAGCAGAGATTCTTCCATCACTTTCGACAATGTCGTCGCAGCTTCTGCTTTTCTTCCACCGCTCAATGATGTCGACCTACACTCGTTACTGTTTAGTTTCAAGTCTTCCAAATCTCCAGGCATTGACGGCATCCGAGTTTCCGATCTCCGCAGAAATTATGAGGTTATCAAGCCTGTATTGCTTCATATGTTGAATGGCTTTATTGAGAGTTGCGTTCTTCCAGATGAACTAAAAACTGCTATTGTAAGGCCCTTATACAAGGGAGGTGGAGCGAATAAGATTGAAAATTACCGCCCAATTTCTATATTACCAATTACTGTACAAATCCTAGAAAAACACGTATTCCAAGTTATGTCATCCTTTCTAGACTTGCATAATGTCCTCTCACCTAGTCAGTTTGGTTTTCTTCGGGGAAAAGGAACTCAACCTCTGCTGGAAGACTTTTCTGATTTACTCTTTTCCGGTTTTGAAAGAAATCTTGTTAGCCGTGCCCTTTTTTTAGACGTATCGAAGGCGTTTGATACGGTCAGCCATTCAGTCCTCTTGAGAAAGCTGCGTAGCTACGGCTTTCGTGGCCCGTTTTTTTCGTTTCTGTCCAATTACCTTTTAAATCGCTCACAGCTTGTAATTGCAGCTGAGTCCCGAAGTCCGCGAACAATGCTAAGAGCAGGGGTACCCCAGGGCTCAATTTTGTCTACACTTCTATTTAATCTGTTCGTTAATGATATTTCAACATCTCTCTCTGAAGCCAAGCTTTATCAATATGCGGACGATACCGTAATAGTCACTCGACATCTTAATTTTGAAAATGCCACCCGCTCACTACAGTGTGCTGCGACTGCAGTTATGGACTGGTTTCAGCGAAACCTTATGGATGTTAACGTAAATAAGACTAAACTTATCTGTTTCCATAATCCCCTTAAATACGTGCGTCTGGATTTCCCTTTCGTTTTACATCACTCAAAATGTGTAGCATGAAAGTGTGTTTCATTGGAATATGTTGAATCTGTCAAGTACCTTGGAATTTTATTTGACTGCGGCCTAACTTGGAGTGCTCAATTCGTGTCACTTTGTGCAAAGCTAAGGAGTGTAAGTTGTCTTTTATATAACACCAAATCGCTTATGCCGTTTTCTGTACGTAAAATAATCGCCCACACACTTGCATGTAGCGTGTTAAGGTATGGGATTACAGTGTTTGGAAACTGTTCTACCCAGTGGCATGGTAAAATAGATAGCATTTTAAAAAATATTTTGAAAAGTGTGTCTTACGGCTTGCAAATACCTGACGACAGTGACCTGTTTAATTTCCTGCAATTCCCATGTCTCAGAAGTCTTTTTACTCGAACTGTTGTCCAACGTTACTTCTGGTCTGATGATTTCAAGAGAGAAAACGTACCTACTCATTCCCTTCGTTTTCAAGAAACATTTGAAGTCCCTTTTGTCCGTACTCGATATGGTAGGAATACGCGCGAATATTATGTGCCTGAGACGTTTAACAATTTGCACTCTGAAATTCTGCAGGCTAATTCTTTGAGCCAGCTGAAGAAAAGTATGAAAGTTCATCTTTCCGGAGGAGAGATTACATAATGTTTATATTTAGTGCGTATGTATTTGTGTACATATTATTCATGTTTTGTGCACTCCTAACTGCTTTATTCTTGTTTTTCACGTCCACGTTGCTTTATTTTTGCGAATTTTTGTACTGACTTTGTTCTTGGTCGTTTCAGAATTGTGTCTATATTTACTACATTTGCATTTGTGTATATATTAGTCATCCTGTCTTGTACACTCCTAACTGCTTTATGATCGTTTTCTTTCCCGTTTTCTGCTTTCTTTGTGCTAATTTTTTATTGACTGTGTTCTTGGACATTCAACCTCTGTTTCTTTCTTTTTTCTTTTTTTTTTTGGCGGCGTCACACAAGCCACCGTTGGCTTTGATTGCCCCCGCACTCCTGTATGAATTTATGAATGTTCCTGAATACAAATTATTATTATTATTATTATTATTATTATTATTATTATTATTATTATTATTATTATTATTATTATTATTATTATTAATATTATTAATATTATTATTATTATATTTTCTTCTTTTATTCTAGACTTTTATTATCTAGACAGTCATGATGTAACAAGTGGCAGAAGATGCGTATCAAAAATAGAGTAATCCAAATTTATGAACGTGTCGACAAAGAAAACTACAATCAATTACAACTACACAATCTTTGGTGTCCCTATCGAAAAAGTATATAAATATAAGTACCTGGGCGTTTTTATTTCCTATACTGTTTTTTGGCAGAATCATATTTACTATGTTGGGGGCAAGGCAAGTCGTTCCTTGGGGTTTATTAGACAAACTGTTTTTAGCACGTTATGAAACTCATCTGTTAGCTTTTAAATCTTTTGTCAGGTCGCAACTGGAGTATGCTAGCATCATATGGGCTCCTCATCAAGATTATTTGAAAACTACATTAGAGAGCCTTCAAAACAAAGGGGCGCGATCCATTTTCCATGACTATTCACCTTACACGAGCGTTTCGGCACTGAAACAAACACATTTACCTCTATGAGAAACCAGGCGTAGGACCTCCCCTCTCACGTTCTTTCACAACATGTATCACTATAATGTTTCTCTCAAAGAACGTTTATTACTTGCAGCCCATCGCATTTTTGATAGAAATGATCATGCTCACAAACTTCGCTTAATTCATTGTAACCAATTTCGCAACTCCCCGTCAAAGCTTGACATTTCAGAATGGAACTCTTTACCTCAGTGTATAGTTAAAAGTGCAGATAGAGCAAATTTCAAATCTTCTTGTGAAATATATTTTCCACATTATCCCGGAATGAATGTTGTGTGCGAAATATATTCTGCTTGTTGTTCTCTGTTCTCGCTAGGCATGTGTATACTATTGTAATTATTAGTCGTGGTATACTTTTGTTGATTTCCTACGACTTATGTATTATATGCGTTATTTTATATTGTATTGTCTCCACCTTTGTAACTCGCCCCTCATACAATGCCCGAAAGGGCTCTTTGAGGTTAATTAAATAAATTAATTAAAATTTACACGTTTTTAGCAGGGGATTCCGGCCACCGCTATGTTGCTGCTGGTCCGTGTAGCCCGTCTGACAGACATGCCGGAAAAATGGATGCATGGATGGATGAACGCTAACTGTTGTTCGCCTTATATGAATGGATGGATGAAAGCGGCTGAACCCTTTTTCATTTAGTGGCGGCTTGAGCCACCTAGCCCAGAAACTAAACAGAACCATAAGTATGAATCCTTCCGCTCTCTACCCAGGGTGGCCACACTGGCTTCTAAAGAATAACTGCTTGCATGCGTGTAAAGCTAAAATTGCCGTTTATAAAAAAAAAAAGCGTTGGTGTTCATGGACGTGTGAACAAATTTAATTTGTGACCTAACAAGCCACGTGTGTTCTGTGCAGCCACCAGCAGGATGAAACAGTGCTCCTCCCGAGGCCACCCCTAAAAGGTACCGGGATCGGACCCAATCCCTGGAGTCTGCCAGCGCGGGCATAGAGGTCCGAGCTCCTCACCGGCTCCTATACCCAGGTTCGTGTTCTCTGACGTATTGACGGCGGGCGCTTCCAAAAGTGTCGCTGCAATCGCCCTTTCTCCTGCCTTAGATGAATGAATGGATTGATAAATGGATGCTAACGGCTAAACCCTTTATTACGGGCGGTAGCTTGCGCCGCCTAGCCTAGAAATTAAAAAAAAAAAAAGTATGATTCCTTTCCTTGCCCGTCTAAGCGAATGTTTCATACCCTCCGCATTTTTTGTGACTATCACCAGGCAGCGTAGCGTCTGAATGTTTCTTGCTGGTTGCACCTTTCTAGATTAGATTATGCTCCCATTGCATTAGTATACCCTCGGTGTCCGTACAACACCTGAGTCGAGTGGATTGTGGAAACCAGGCGTGGGTGTTCACATTGCTGACAACAGACGTAAAACAAAAAAGAAGAAGAAGAAGCGAGGGGATTAGTTTGAGTGTGAAATAATCAACTGCATTAATAAAAGAGATGCAGAGCGTAATAGGTCTAGCTAAATAAAGAAAGTCTTTCGGGATGCCTCATTTGGGTAGAGTTAGACGTTAACTTCCAAAGGAAAGTAAAAAAAAAAAAAAGAAACACGTCCGATATTGTCAAAAGTTGCGTAGTCACTGACTAGGTGAGAACGGCAGAGGGAAGCTCCCATTGTCCCGCCTCCAGCGCGAGTTCCTACCCTCGACCATGCTTCGGTTTCTCGTGCACCTCAAGCGCGCGCGCACGCAGCCAAAGCACGCCGGAAGGCACGAAGCGCGTGCGGAAGGCTAGGCGTCCGAGAGAGATGCCCTACCATTCTCATTATGCCGATAACTAGAGATCCACGAGGGAAGTTGTGTGAAGACAATTCGGCGAAGCTGCTCAGCTGCTAACCAGAAAAGGTAGCTCTACAGCAGCCTCTAATATGGACACTTGGCGAAAAAGTCGGTGAGGAATACGGCGGCCGTGATTGGCCAGTGCCGCTCTTGACCATGACGCCGGTCAATCACGGTTGTAGAATTCCTCGCCGCCATTTTTCGCCAAGTGTGCAGATTAGAGCCCCACCAATTAAATTTTAGAAAAGACACGCACATATACCACATACCAGATGAAGACAGTATTTACGAAGTCATGTTTGCAGATATAGACAATATTTACGAAGACATTTTTGCAGATAAAGACAGAATTCACGAAGTCTATTGCAGATAAAGACTATTTACGACGTAATTCTTTCAAGCGTATCTTGTTCTTAAAGACTTTGAGCTAAGCCGTTACCCTGTTGCGCGTATACCGCACTACCGGAGCCTTCGATGCATGTTTTTAAAGGCCGACAACCAGACTCGAGATTCTGCAAGGCAGAAGACCCTCCTCTCCACGCCTTCGGGCGAGGGAAGCGAAGGATGGAAAGAAGGGACCAAGAGGGGCGGGCATGGGTGGAAAGGGTAGGAGGGAGAGGAGGAAGCGGGTGAAAAGTGGAAAGCGCGAACTGGTCGTCGGTCTTTAAGCGCGCGCACGAGTGAGACCGTGACCGCGGCGCGCGCGCTTAAAAGCGTGCTTCAAAGCCTCCGGTGGTGCGGTACGCGGAACACGGTAACGGTTTGATTACGGTACCGATTAAACGTTTTACTCATTGATAAAAAAAAGTTTCGGGGGCGAGCTCATAAAACGCATAAAATGCAGTATTTAGGAGCGATCATTTCAAGTGTTTGAAACGGTTGGTTCTGGAGCGAAGAACCTCTTTTTTTTTTTTCCAATCTTGAGGAAACTGATTTGTTGGGTCACGCGACTAAGGAGGGTGGAATTGAAAGGGAGGCAAATGGGGAGGGAAGTACTGTAGAAGGGGGGGAGATGGGGAGAGGGAAGAGTAAGTAGAAAGGAATGAGGAGAGGTAACTGGTGTGTCATGGTGACGTAAATTCCCCCACTAAAATTAGCGGGGAAACTGAGTTGGTGTCTCGTTACCAGCATGGAAGGCGAGGGGAAGAAGGAGAAGAAAGAGGGGGAAGGTGGGAGTTGGAAGTAGGGGGAGCAGAAGGGAGAATGAAAGGGAGCGTGAACAAAGGAAACAGATGGGGATAACACCTATAGAAGGGAGTGGAAGGATGGAGGAGGGGAAAAGAGGAGGAATAGGGACATGAAACGTGTGTGTCATGTGACGTATATTTATCCGCTAAATTGAGCGAAGAAACTGAATTGTTGTGCAGGCCACATGACATCAGGTCACATAACTTCGATATCCCCAGCTAAATGTGGTGGGGAAACTGGATTGAAGCCTAGGTGACGTTACGTAAATGTTTCTGCTGTAATTAGCGGGGAAACTGAATTGGTTGATAAGCCCCGGTACGTCAATGTTTTCGCTAAATTTAACGGGGAAACTAATTTGGTGTTTAGGTCACAAGACGTGAATTCTTCCCCTAAATATAGGGTGTCCCAAGTCACCATGCCCGATCTAAAATGAACCGTAAAAATCGATGCCTGCACGTAGCAATCTAAACTTTTCGTCAATGGTGTATTTCAGAGGTCGGTTTTTTTCTTGTAAACTTACAAAGCGTAGCTCCTTTTCTGTAAAAAATAGGGCCAACAAACTTGCCTAGGTCAACGCCGAATGGCGACGTAGACGACCAAGTTGAGTTCTGGAGCGCGTTTGGCGCGCGTATTGATGGATGGCGTCGGGAGCAGCGTCGGAAGGTGTAACCGACCAGCGAAAGAAAGCAGACGACATACAGACGAAATCCGTTGGCAGTATAAGTATGGTGCCTGAAACGCGTCTCCGAATGATGTGTTTACTGTCCTATGCTGCCCATACATCAAACATGGTCCCGAAGTGGCAAAAAAAGACGTCACAGAAGCCGAAGTGTCATGCTGTCGGATGTCGCGATCCTGGCGGTTGGTCGTAGAAATGCTGGAAAAAAGCACGACTGAACGCGAGTGTCGCTGTCATCAGGACGTCCCAAATTTTGGCTGCTGAAGCTTCCGTGAACTGTCACACCAGAGTGCGACCTGCAGCAGAGCAGGCGCCTGCCACATACACCACAGCTGCTGGAACACCGCCAGGATTGCGACCGATGACAGCGTGGCACTTTTATGACGTCACCGGGCGGAAATCGAGGGACCACTTTTTTGGACGTGGTAAAGACACCAGTCGGAGACGCGTTCCAGGCACCATAGCAAAAACGCCGTCGTGCAAACGCGTTTTTTTTCCTTCAGGTTTTGCTTTTAGTGTCTGCATTTATTTTTTTACCAAAGGTACATTACAAAAAGGTTATGTTCATTTTAATAAACCATGGTGGTCGCGAGCAGTCTCGATAAGGAGGTAGCGGCATCTATCAATACCAGCGTCAAACGCGCCCCGTTACTCGACTTGGTCGTCTGCGCCGCCGTCCGCCGTTGACCCTGGCAAGCTTTTTGGCCTTATTTTTTTTTTAGAAAGTTAACTACACTTCGTAATTTTACAAGAAAAAGCCGACCTGTGGAATGCACCTTTGACGAAAAGTTTAGATTGCTACGTGCATTCGTCGATTTTTACAGTCCATTTTAAATCGTGCCTCGTGACTTGGAACACCCTATATAGCTCGGAAACTGAATTTACATGTAGACCAGGTGGCGTCAACTTCCCCACTTGGTATATAGGTGACGTGACATCCATGTTCCCTCAAAGTTTAGCGGAACATGCACGGACGGTCAAACAGACGGACGGACGGAAGGACACAATTTTGGGATTCGGGGTTCCGTTATAAATCATTTCTTGCTTTAAAAAAAACGCGTGCTAAGATTTGTTTGTGAGAGCCTATGGCATAACTTGTTCTGAACTCGTGCACTGCAAAAACTTATTGTCACTTGCTGCGGTAAACAACAAAAGGGACGAGCTAAACCTGTGTCTTTACGGTTGCAGTACCATCTTCAGCTCTACCAATGGAATCATAAAATTCTAAAGATGTTGCCGTTTTCTGCATTCTTGCTGTAATATATGCTGGAGTTTGTGTCGTTGCTTGAAATCTTTCTCGCGGCAAAACACCGAGCTCTGATGGCTCACATTGCAACCCACTTGTTTAAGATTGGCACTAACCTCCAAATAACAACCTTTGTTCGGGTCAACAAGAGCCCCCACCCGAATTTTCTAAGGATGGAGAGCAAAAATTTCAACCCTCGAAGATATGATATTGGGATGTGGTGTTGTAGGTACCCATATTGAGCTTGCCTCGTATATTTTGAAGTTCCGCATACCGTCCCTCAATGCACGCCACTGCTGTTATCATTTTCGGCTGTTCAAACGTGGGAAAGGGAGTACGGTGAAAGGCTGAATTATGAATGCGAACAGCTTTAATCTGTTCGGGAGGCCGCCATAAGTTAGTGCCGTGCACCGCGCTCGAAGATGCAGAAACATTTATTTCACTTGGGGGTATTAAATTCAATAGTAACAATGAGATCAAAAGCCTTCAAGTTTCAAGAATGTGACGCTTTGAGTGTCGTGGTTTCATTTTTGTCAGGAAAGGGGTCGTTTGAGAAGATGGGGATGGGAAGTACGCGAGTTTTTGGAATTTCGTCAGGTGTACAGCTCCAGGCATACTTACCTCAAGCAAATGCTAAGCGTACTAGGTTCTTTTTTTTTGTGTGCTCGTGGTTGGTTTTTACGCAAGTTTGCATGCACATCTTTGATTCAAATGAACATGCCAAAAAAGTGCTCGTTTTTTCTCAAATGCCATTTACTCTCGTGCTCAAGGTAGGTTTGGTTGTGAACGTGCCTCTTTTGGAACGCTTAACGTCACTAGCCTAGTGCATTGTTAGGTTGGCCACATCTTCAATATCGCTAAAGAGGAGTTGGTTGTGCCGCCGCAGTGTCCGGTGGCACCGCCTCTGTTCCTCCTCCTCTCGGGCATGGGCTGCACCCTGAGCAAGACTCTGTCCTCGCTGGTCCGGGGCTCGGAGGGCCGCAAGGGCTCCAACTCCGGCACCGGAGGCTCCGAAGCCGACCCCGTGGCCGACCCCCCTCCCCCGCCGCCGCCGGACCCGCGTCAGCCGCTCACGGCCAGGCAGATCTTCAGCATCTCCAAGTCGTGGAAGGCGATCGCCCGGGCTATGGAGCCCACAGGCATCGAGATGTTCGTCAGGTGAGGGCAGTACGCGCCATTCCAATGCTCGCTTTCTGCGTGCGGCCATCCGAGGAACGTTTTCTGGCCATAATGGCACTATTGTGTGGAATATCAAACGCCACGCCTGTGTTTAGAGCACAGTGACTAAGTATTTTACACCTGGATGACAGGCGCTGGAAAGCTATGTTGTCGCGCGTGTGGTGGATTTGGCAACTCGTGGGGCTGCCACGCGGAGGCACAGGGTTCGAACCCCGCTCGGCCGACATCTTCGTTTTATTCATCTGTGCTGTTCTGGAAAGTTCCAGCCGACTCTTGGCTATGACAAAGTGTTCTGGTTTGGAATATTCCTGAAAGTACCGCGTGTATAAAAGAAACGATGACAGACGCCATTCATTGCCGACTCTAAAGGCGTGCTGCATTTTAAGTTTGTAGGTACAAGTACGCCGCATTTAAAGTTTACTTTCAATAAAACTTTCGTCTACCATGTTTTATTCCTGATCATATACCTCGCAGGAATCCTACCAAATGGGCACAAATGTCCTGCATAGATGGCCTCAGATAACAATGCGCCGAGAAACTCAGGGGGAGGAGAACACGAAAGCTCCGCCTTCAGCGCGAGGTTTCTACCCTTTCTAACGTGCCTTTTAGGAAATTGTCGATAATATCCGCCGAAGACCTTATTTAGTCGTCCGGACATGATGCTATTAACGTTTTGGTTGAATGGAGGAACGCGTGTTTTTCGACTTCTCTGATGTCCTGTCGTGATCTCAGGCTTTGGTCTCCGCGTGGTCCTAATGAATGTTCCCGCCCGCGGCGCCTCGTTTCTGCTGCAGACTGTTCCAGGAGAAGGAGGACCTGCTGGACCTGTTCGAGAAGTTCCAGGCACTGCGCACCAAGGAATCTCAACGCGAGAGTATGGAGCTGGCACAGCACGCCTCGGTGGTCATGACCACGCTCGACGAGGGCATCAATGCCCTCGACAACCTCGACTACTTCATGAGCTACCTGCACAACGCGGGACGGCTTCACTACAAGATCAAGGGCTTCAAGAAGGAGTACTTCTGGGTGCGTGTAAATTAATTGTTTGTATGCTTATACTGCTGGAGGACTTTCCGCCTCAATGAGCCTCTGATATCTCCACAATAGACGAAACATTTATCCGGTGCAGAATGACTGCTAACATGGGGTCTTTAACGCGCATCACGCAATAAAGATACACGACTGCACGCCGGTACGACGTTCATCCAGATTGAAGCAAGCAGGGGTGGAGATTGAGCCGAGGATCTCTGGGTTTTGCGGCACAAGCTTAGGCATCACGTGCTCACAGCTGCGTTCGCCAGCACACTCGACCACCAATCCTCCCCCCCCCCCCCCCCCCCACCCCATATAAGTTTCCCTGCTCTGATAGAATGTACACTTCGTTTGTTGTTGCAGCACATCGAGGGACCCTTCCTCGCTGCCGTGTCGGACACCCTGGGTGATCGCTACACGGACAATATAGAAAACATCTACAAGATCACCATCCGCTTCATCCTACAGACCCTCATCGAAGGTTTCGAAGAGGCCGAGAAGGAGGCAGCGCAGCAGGCCCGATGAACATGGCGCACCTCCGATAGTTTCAAACGCACACACACAAGCACTGTGGGTACGCGTGTGCCGCACGCAGGAAAGATGGTGGTGCCACCATTGCCTCTCGCTTACAGCGTCGTGTCTTTGCGACGGTTCTTCGTCTTTTTGCAAGCTTGCTCTGCGTCCGGCAATCTCGTCCGCGTCATTGAGCACTCGTGTGACATGACTCTCTCCCCTTCTCTGTGTCAGGGCGAGACGCTGCACCACGTGCTGTTGTTGTTTGTGAGCTAAGCAGCTGCAGTTGTGTGCGTGACCTACGCTGCAGCCATTTTTTTATTATTATTATTGAGGTGGGATTTGAGTACGTTGGTTCAAGAGGAGAATTCACACCTGTTCCCTTTTTATGTAGAGTAGTGCTCGTCTTGAGGGGAACCACATCCCCCAGGGGCTTGGCGTAGCGCTGTAGTTTTGTTTTTGTTATTGACTATTGTTGCGACAGCTATGTCTAAGCTACCAACCTATTTTATGTTGTGTACCTCTCTGTTTTAAATGTGTGTCCCATCATCAGTTTTGTAAACTTGTTCGAAATGGCCGCTAAGCCTTTTGTGGGGTGAGTTTTCGAGCCGTAAGCCGTAACGGCGTGATTTGTTACAGTGGAATAGGAATGATCCGCAGGTACCCTCCGTTACGAGTAGGTCCTCCACTTTTTCTCCTCGAGAGTCGACAGATATATATATGGGCAGACAAACAGGCAGGGAGTGTAGCTTGGAAAAGCTCCTCCAGGAGAGCCAGAGGACATCGTAAATCTTGGATTCAAAATCTAAGACCAGATTCACGTGAAATCATTGTGTAGACGCATCTACGTTGGCAAGACTCGCTTGTGCTTGTGGGAGTATTGGAGAAAGGAAAAAGCAGCTTTTGTAGGCAGTGTCTTTCAGCGTTGCAGCATAAAGCGTAGATGAGCAGTCAAACACGCTAAAAAGTGGATAGAGGAAACGCACAATCGAAAATTGGGCCGAAATGTCCTGTGAGATCCCAAAGGAAAGTGAGGAAGTGAGATATTCCTCAGCCTTCATTAACTTTTTTTTTCTATTACCGACACGCAATCGCGTCAATAATTCTAGACCCGTGTAAATCAGCAAAACATATTGGAAAGCAGCATATTTGCCGTGGTTTCCTCTAACCCTGTATTTCGAGAGTGTTTGGCTGGAGTTCGGCAGTCTGGGACAGTTGAATCACAGCCCTATTTTTGTACCTGCGACCTTGGAAGCAGCGTGTAGCCAACAACACGACCTTATTCGAAGAAAGCAATTCATCACTTGGATCACGAGCCGACGGCGGCCCTTCTACTTGGCACAATCCACGCGGAGAGAAAACACCGAGAACACGAATCCGCCCTAATAGTCCAAGTGCCAAAGTGACAAAAGTACAAACGCACAGTGGACGGAGCAACATGTGAGAAGCCCGCCAAGACGTCCCCCCCTGGTTCAGTTACACTATGGTGCCTGAAACGCGTCTGCGACCGGTGTGTCGATCGCGTCCTAAAATGGGGTCCCTGGATTTCCGCCTAATGACGTCATACAAGTAGCATGTTGGCGCCGGCCGCGTTCCTGGCGGTGTCGCAGCAGCGATGGATGATGTTGCAGACGCCTGTTCTGTTGGGAGACGCCTGTCCTATTGCAGATCGCTCTCCAGGTTTACATTTCAAGGAAGTTTCGGCAGCCGGAGTTTGGACGCCGTGACTACTGCGACACTCGCTTTCAACCGTGCTTCTTTTTTTTTTGTTTTTTTTTTTTTGTAGTTTGTTATTATTAATTGTTAGGATCGTGAAATCTAAGAGTATAACACTCCGACTTTTGTGGCGTCATTGTGTCTACTTCGGGTTCGGAACCACTTTCGATGCAAAGAAAAAATACACTCTAAAAAAAAAAATTTGCTCGTAAAATAACTTTTAAGGGTTCCTTGGTTTGTGCAATTTTTGCAGCCTGAAATGTTCTTGTAAGCACCCCTCAAAAGGGTTCTCCGTGAAAAACCTATAAGGGGATCTTTTAACCTCCTTTTTTTTGACGCAAGGGAGTTCTTCATTGCCCAGTTGCCTTTCTAGTGCGCCGGGGGGCGATAGTGCTTGAGGCGAGACCGTTCTTCACCAGCTGAAAGAGCTCCTGGGGCGTTAAAGAACTTTTTTTTTCTTTAGAGTTTAGGGCGCTAAAGGCATCCGTCGGAGACTCATTTCAGGCACCGTAGCTACGCATAGAAGAATTCCAAAGTGTTTTTTTTTTCTTTAGGTGCGGCCGGCAAGCTCGACAGTTGCTTTCCAAACCATCCATGCCGTCACGCAATCGCAGCCTGATCATGTGTGAGCGTACGTTAGCAGATGAAGAGTTTTAAAAGAGGCTCGCGCCTCAAACCGGGAGCCTTCATTGTTTTGTCTTCAGTTTGTAAAGCCACCGTACGCGAGTTCCTGTCGCCTCCTAGTGTCTTCTGTCCTTCCTAGAGTGTTGAATGCTTGTTCGTGACTAATGATACATCACTCCTGCCTCCCAGAAATATCTAGACCTATCCGAATCCTACGGGTCAAGTGATTCAGGTCAACCTTAGAGATTGTCTTACGCTCATTGCTCTCCAACCACGCAGTATCGTTCCAGTGTTAGCTCAATCACCCGAATTTCAGGATTAGTTTCTATGAACACCTGAGCCTTCAAAATTGCAGCTTAGCCTGTTACACCTTGTTATCGATAACTAACTGACAAGATCTCGCTCCGCCATGCGCATTTTGTTTATATTTTGAGAAAGGGGGTTCGTCAGCGAGCTTTGTGTTCATCTTATCTTACGCTTTATACTTCTCAGTCTGCACCCTCTGATCAGATCTTAAAGCAACTTCCAAAAACCTCGAGAAATTCTAAATTATCTACAGAATATTTTACTAGGATTTAGTAGTATATTTAGTAACTAAATGAAAGGAACCGCCTCTTGTTACTGCCATTAAAAAGTGTGACTTGCGGGAGAGCTTCGCTGGCAGTTTCTCACTCGCTGTTTGTATCCTTAGTATGTCAGTTGTTTTCTTTTCGTATGTTGTCACAGTGTTGTATGAAAACAAAAAAAAAACTCTAAAGAGCACTTAATGTGTTTTTTTTTTCGAATATACAAAAAAGAAAAGTTGAGTCGTAACAAGACAGCTAACGTCGAAGATCAGCAATCACCAGCTAAGCATGCTTCCACACGTGTTTTTTCTGCCTCCTGCTATGACCAAATTTTCTTTCTACCAATCTTAAGACAAATCAAAGACTTGTGCACGAACCAAGGTCAAAGCACATTTCATTTTTTTTTTTTTTTTACAATTGTGGGTATTATGTTTAGCTTGTTTTAACCATTATTTCACAAGAAACCAGCACCTCGTGTCAAATGGCGTCTTTGTGTCCAGATATGTTGCCGAGGATGTATAAGTTGCTCACTTTGATTTATTGAGCCTGTCTCTGTGTCGCTCTGAATGGGGTTGTTGATGTTTGGCACATTTCTCCTGTCCGAGTGTATAGCCTTGGTGGTCATCCGCCAAAGTCAGTGCAGTTGCTGAACCAAGAATCCAAGAAATAGCAATGCTCTAAACATGGCTCATGTTCACGTTCACTTTTCTAAAAACAGCGTGTTTCTTTTCAAATCGCATTGTCCCAGATGAATGGGCATAACATCTGGCGCTTCTGTAGACACATCATGGCTAGACATGTCCACTACTGTCGAGTGGTAGATCAAGCATAAAATGCGCAGCTGCTCGCTGTCTTCGTGACACTACGTTGTGTTATGATTTTTACATATTTGTGTAAACAAAGCTCTGACTCCTTCGGTAACCTCTTTAGTCTATCTATTCAAAACATTTCTTCGTTCGGAATTTAAGTGGGACCTGATTATAAAGCTTCACTCAGACGATTTTTAAGATCCGTATATCAGAACTGAGCAGGAATTTAAAACGTAGTGTCAATTTGGCGCTTGAACTATAGATATTACAATAAGTCAGGGCCTTGCATCACGAACTGCGCGTTTCTCTTAACTAAATTATGTCGACTGTGTACAATCAAGGCGAATGTTTGTTCTTGTTGTTTGATAACCTTAATTGTACCTAAGGGTATGAAGTAAGGCTGACCTACCTTACAGACGTCGTCTGGTACACGCAAGTGTTAAAAACTGGGCCAGTCATTCCAGGTTGCTGGGTTGACTAGCCCAGATATCGTCGTTCGGGACATCAGGGGACAGGACGTAACGATTCCTTTGTTGCCAGAAGCAAAGAGAATGCTCCTTGAAATGTTTGAAACAAATTGAGACGAATCTCTCAAGACACCGCTCGATTGGAGCGTTTTCCTCGTGATGACGACGCACAGTTTGAGAACCGCCGAATTACCGGGGCAGGCAGTCGGCTGTTCTCCGGCAAGCGTCTGATGAGAGGGAAAAGTCGGTTGTCCGTTTGACCCTGGACAGCGACATTATACTCTGTCTCTAAACACGCAAAACTCGATCCAGTCGCGTTACGAACGGACCCCTTTAAACCTGCGCCTCCAAAGGCTGTTTTTTTTTTTTTTTTTTTTTTTTTTTTAATCTTATATGTGTAATGAAGGGCTCGAAGAATCGTTCCCTATCCCTCCTAGACAAGCAACACCACTCCAACAAACGTCGATGACTTCGGCTGAGGATTCCGCATTTGAGAGCTCCATATCCTGCTCGCCATTCTCCAAAATGCCGTCTCCGTGTACACACCTATGCGCGGCTTTTGCGTCATGGCGGCGTGGTGGCGCCACTGAAGACACGACGCGTACGTAGCCGTTTCAATTGTGGGGAATCTGGTTTCTGCGCACGCGCAATGCCCACCCCTGGTTTGATAAAAAAAAAAACATGGAGGTAGGGAGCTTCTAATGGCGTCACGTCGCCTCCGGAAGTTTCCTGTACCTCTATGGGTCAAAACCAGGTGTGGCCAGTTCCGGACGTCTGGTAGTCCGCAGAAAAGAGTATTATGAAAAACCCCTAAGTAAGCAACGAGGTTAATTCGAGCGCGCGGTAAAACCGAAATGGCGAAACCTTCACGAAATTAAGATCATCTTCAACTCCGTGAAAAGCGCAGTCACATACTAACAATCTATCTTCGCAATTTCAATTTAAAATTTTAAAAACACGCACCTTTTTTTCTTCTTTTTTGTAATGGCGGCCGGCGAGAGATTGTAGCTGTAGCTTTGACGTTCATCAGCTTCAATTCTTAACAGTCTACACACCGTGTGCACAGTCTGGAGGGAGCAACGCGGGGTTCGATTAGCATGACAGCCCACATAACGTAGAACTCCCATGTAACCTCGTGCGAAAACAGTGTGTACGTCGGCTCAAAAGTGTGTCAGTGTCGTGGTTCGTAGCATGCGTATCTTGCACCTCTCGTGTAGACTGGGCTAACTATAGGTGTAAGCTTTGGGGCTTAGCTCTACGCCGCAAGCAAAGCCTTTCTTTTGTCCACGCATAAATGTATGTATACAGTGTCCCACGAGTCTCAGCTTTGTGGCAAAGTCGAGCCCTCGTAGACGTGTGTTTTTTTCCTTTTGAGGTAAAAAGGCGCCCTTTCCACAACGCGACTGGGAAACAAAAAAAACAAAAAAGGACATCAACTGGTCACTACCATTTTGGCCCACCTGCACATAATCCAAGGCTGCGTCCCTATTACTCAGTGCACTTTTTTTTTTATTGCATAAAATGTTGCTTGGTAGACCTTTTAGCTGACCCTATACTCGTTGACAACTTTATGTGGCATTCTTGACGAGATGATGGGTGCGCATGCGGAGCTTTTCTCGGCGCTAAACAACACCCTCCCGTACCTTTGACTTCATAGTCACAAAAAGCTGTCCACGGGTATACCACTCCGCTTTGTCATAGATCGTAATCGATTTCCGTGTTTCGTCACATTCAGCGAAAGCTGAAACTTTCTGTGGGCAAGAAATTTTTCATTGGCAACACCTGGGTTGTTTTGTGGACCGGCATGAGGTACACCGCACGACACAGCGCGAAACAAGACATCGTGGTTTCTTTGTTATTTTTTTCGCATATTTCTTAGACAAGGCATTAAACATGCTCCTATTTTACCCCTGAACTTGATGTCCCGAATGAACACTTTCCCGCAGAGGTTGTAGCTCTAACGACAGCATTTTAATTTTCAAATTAAAATAAGAAAAAAAGATTGACAACTACTTGTTCGCACTAAGAGTGTTGCGCAGTGTACCATGTGACTTTCGCTCTTTTCCGCTTGAACCGAGGTATATTAATTCTACGCTTCAATTCTCGGAAATTTGAAGAAGAAATGGAGAGTGCTTCTCAATTTCGGGACTGGGATACCCCCTTCAGCGCGTTTCAAGTTTTTCGTGGACGTGATATTTCTCTTTTTAAGTACACACGCATTATGTTTTTCCGCGTGAAGCCGTCACCTTATAATGGACGGTTAGGCTGCGTAGGTTGCTCCGATAACATTACTGTGTGGAAAATCTTACCGTTAATATGTCTGCCAAACTTTAGTACATAAATCACTATTGCGAATCACCTAGCAAAATGGAAAAAAACTAAAACATATAAAGGATCGTTTTTGTCTGATATACCACTTTGAACAATAATTTTCATAAAATAGTGCACCTCTCACTAATACATTGCCTTTGTTGAGTATTACATATTCTTAGAGCGACTATTTTCTTGTTGTTTTGTTTTTGTTTGTTTGTTTTTATACAAGATTAGGTTTGTTTTCGTACTCAATTACCTTTCGACTCGGGGGGAATTCCTATTGAGAAACTGGATCATGAGACAAAGTTATTCTGGTTATACAAAAAAATATATCGTTTGTTGTTGTTGTTGTTGTGGTTGCTGTTTCCTAACGAAGACAACGGCAGACGAGCTAGTTGATATTTTGGATTAAAACCTACAATACCGAGGAAATAAAATAGCTTGGCTTAGCTTACACACAAATTGCTATTGTATTGTGTTTCTTTGAACTCTGATTTTTAATTACAAAATTCCTTGCTCCGGTTCGCCATTTTTTTATATTTTGCTATCACTCTATCGGTGAATGAATGTGAACGTGACATGGAGCATGTTTAGAGCTGCGCGGGTTCATTGAAGGTCCCTTCACGATTTCGGTTGCTGCCTGCGTCTATGTGGGACACATATATGAGAGGGAGTGCACACCTAATGCGCGTGTGCACCTCGTATGATGTGTGTGTAAAATATGGTGTTAATAATGTTGATGCAACTTTAGAAGTACCCTATATATATAAATACGAAACAATATCTTAACGTCAACTGCTATTCTGTTTGCTACGTAATAAAAGGAAGAAACTGAAATCGCCTGATGTTGTGTTTTTGTCGTCTTCCCATGAGATGGTGGTGTGAAGCTTACCCCAGTTTCATTTGTTTATAAAACTCTGAAGATTTCGTGTGATTTTTTTTTATTACATCCTTGCATTTCTGTACATCCCCTGATTTAACCACAACGCGGTCTTTAATATGAACGCGATTTCCCATTCTTAAAAGGTGGCTTGTGCGCCGTGTCAATTTAACTTGCCAGTATAATAGAAAACCTGGCTGTTCCTTTTCATTCAATTCTCATTGTGGCACCAAGCTTTTCCTCAAACCTGCGATGAGTTGCATAGGAATCTGACGCAAGTTTTTAAGAGCCCCAATGCAAGTGAAGCATGCAGCTTACAAGGCCTTGGTCAGGCCTTGCTTGGAATACGCATCTTGTCAATCGAGTCCCCCCACTGTTACAAGCACATGTAAGCTTGAAATAGTAAAGAGCTTTGTAGCTAGGTTTATACGCAAACGGAGTTGCCGACTTCTGCATCTTTTTAAAACCTCCGCGAAGGCAACGTTACAATCTATCACGCGATAAACCTGCTCCGCTTTGGAAGCTCCGCGAGGATATAGAGATTCTGCTGCTGCCGGCAGATAAAGGAAAATCGACCGTCCTTCTCGACCGGGTGGGGTACGAACAGAAGGCTCGGGATGACAGTCCAGCTCATGAAAAGCTTAAGAAAAAAACAATATCCCAATTTCAGCGGAACATATGCTTTCTGACATTTTAAAGCAATCCCTAGAGTCGAAAGCGCCGGGCACAGTGTGGGGCAATGCTTGCCAAAGTTTTGAAAACACTGCACACCATCGGCGAGGAGGAGGGTGTCCATTCACAGACGCATCAAAAAGCGGTCTAAGGGCATGGTAGCGCGCCCTGTACAAAGAGAAATAAAACACCAAAGTCCCGCAAGTTTTTGGTACATGGAGATG